ATGCATCTATCACTGATGATATTCTTAACTAGAGCCCGCTGACCGCTTCACTTACCTGGGAAGTAACATCAGCCCCAACGAGTTGATCTCCGACGAAATCTCAGCACGAATATAGAGGGCTTGTTTCGCATATGCCAGTTTACGCCGTCTCTGGTGTAGACGTGATATCTGACTATCGACCAAAGGGCGTGTGTACTGCTCAACAGTCCGCTCCGTCCCCCTTATGGCTGTGAGACCTGGCCATTGAGAGCGGAAGACATGAAAAGATTAGCTGTCTTCGACCACAGGTGTCTGCGTTCTATCTCCCGCGTGAAGTGGTATAATAAGGTGAGCAATATTGAGGTTTGGTGTCGAGTGCTAGGAAAGGAGGGGAAATCAGTCGACGAAACTGTGAAATTACATCGACTGAGATAGGAAATGTGTTACGTATGCCTAGTCATCGCCTTCCTTGACGGGCAATGTTAGCTGATATCGAGTCAGGCTGGAGAAGAGCTAGCTGCGGTCAAACGAAAACATGGCACCAGTCAGTGAAGTCTACAACAGTTAGTCTAAGCCAGCCACGTAGGAAGGTGTAGACTTCCTGGCTAGTTTGGGTCCTCGGAACGGTGAAAACCAATGGTTGGAAACAATTGGTGACGGCTCAAAATCGTTCTCAGTGGCTAGCGCAGATGCATCCATTCCTTGTGACTTATGATTTCCAATGAAACTGTTTTGTTCTTCGTTATTACTATTCCTTTGTCTCACACCTCTGTTTACTGTCTATATTATGCATTTCTACTTTCTTCTCTTGCTTTGTGTGCTGAGTGAAGTGTGGCGACTTGAACTGCCGCACATATGTACAAATTTCTATGTGGAAAACCGACTGACCGATATTCCTAACTGTGGTGGACTGGATTATGCTTCAAACTGTGAGTTGGGTCAGAAGATAGGAATACATTGGACCGAAAAGAAGACCCTGGAAGAAATGGATTTTGCAAATGACTTATGTTTAATGTCACACAAACTCGAAGACGTGCAGGCGAAAACTAACAAACTGGCTGAAGAAGAAGAGCAGAAAAGACAGGACTCCAGTTCAACTTACAGAAGACGGAGTTGATGAAGATAATCAACCGACCAACCAACCAACCATCCGATCAACAGAAACAAGAAACAGCACCTATCGCTATCAAAGGATTAAATTTGAAAGTGATCACTTTCTTCACTTATATGGCTAGGAAGCACAGTTTCAACTACAGACAGCCGGCATGGTTGACGATATCAAAACCAGCATGGAAAAGGCAAGATATACTTTTATCACTGTGAAGTCACTTTTAAAACTTACTACACATTCCAGCATAAACAAAAAAAATCGAATTTTCAACACCAATGTTAGGTCAGTCAGCCTCTTTGTATGAATTAGAAGGTAGGTGCACCAGTCACGAAAAGCACTTGCAACAGGCTACTGTCGACTTTTATCAACAGCAGCCTTCTTTGTCTCTACATGGGAGATCAAATGGCCAGCTAGCCAGAGAGAATTAGTAACAAGTAACTCTGGCAAAAAACTAACGAAAAACCTACCTTTCAACAAATATGTAGGGTGAAGTGGAGATAGATGGATCTGCCAAACGTTGAGGAGGCCGTCGAATGACATCGTACTATCGCCAGGCCATCGCTTGAGTGGAACTCGCATGAGCAGCGATGAGTGGGTCGTCAGTACGAGAATGACATGGAGGAGATCGCTTGGAGAGTAGGAGATGAGAGATTATGGGCAATCGTGGGGTCAGCCAGCTAAAGAGGAAAGCGGAGAATGGGAGAACAAAGTGAAGATGCATCGATGAAGCCCTAATAACAAGTCTTCTTCTTCCATTAGTGATGTTGATTTAATCCTCCATTAACTTCTTTGGATCGCAACGTGAGCTCGCCCAGAGGATTGTTTATTTGTGCTCCAACCTACCTCTATGCTTTTTATGAAGAAACAAAGAAGAGAAACATACTGTGAAAGATTGAGCTTAATTTCTGATATAATGATATTGCTTCATACGGTGTACTACCAATGAAAATTTTACTAGGAGATTCTACACAGATGAAGAGTGTACATATATTTTGCGAAAAATCAAACTAGGTATTCTGATTTGTGTTTAAACACAATTTCCGGGATGGAGGTGATACTACTATTATTGTTATTAGTAATAATAGCATGTTTTGACCTTCAATAGAGCTTTTTTACAGGATTTCATCATGAGCTGACATTGGTTAGAGAACCATTAGAAACCCAGCACTGGATTACTGGGCACCTGTTTCGTCCTGGTTCGAGACTCTTCACAGTGCGCACCCACTGGGGTTCGAACCCAGGACCTTTTGGTTACACGGCAAGCTCGCAGACCATTAAGACACTGGGACCCGATCCAATGGCCCATGAATTCTAACATTTGCCAATTCACGGCATAGCGCGATCACTAGCCAATGTCTTCGGTGAGTATTTGTCCACACACCTGACCTGCTGCACCCTACTGGTTACGACTTCCTACTAGAACCCCAGGTAACTACCTACCTGAATAGGGCCAGTCGCTAGTAAGCATCTCATCGATATTTAAGTGTTGGTTTGTAGGGATTTGATTGGTTCCAGTGGCTCAATGGTCTACGAGCTTGCCTCGTAACCAGAATGTCCTGGTTTTGAACCTCGATGAATGCGTACTGACGAAGAGTCCCAAACTAGGTCGAGACAGCTGTCCAGTACTCCAGTGCTGGTTTTCCAATGGTTCTTTAACCAATGTCAGCTCATGATGAAATCCTGTAACCAGACAAATCCCTACAAACCAACACCTGAATATAGAGCTTTTTTAATCTGACCTCCGTTCACTGTCTAACTTCATGATAACTTTTCGCGTCGATTTCAAAAAATTAATTACGTGTGTGTGCATGTAAGATCAGATTTTAGGAAATGTGTTGCACAAGTACATTACACAATTCAGATTATTATTGCAATGGATAGTGGTTTTCATCCAGACACCTATAAACGAGTACTAGTCAGAAATCTATTTTATAAAATCAAGAGAATATACTCTGCAAGGAAATTAGGGAAGCAATTTTTGATTCTAGAAAAGTTACTGAAAAAAACAATGGTTACCCTCAGAAATTCATTAACAAGTATGCAAGATATGAAGGATGAAATGCCAAACGATTCACAGTGAAAAAAAAACAGTCTATCTTCATTCAACTCGATTTTGAAGGTGATAATATTGCAGGAATAGTTTGGAGAAGACTGAATATATATATCACTAGACAGAACCTGTCTTAGAGCTAAGCTGGTTCTTGTTTACCGGACAACATGCTGTTTGGTGCAGTCAAAGGTCGGCAGACAGCCTTCTTATGTTAAATGTAACTGTGTGTGAAAATCTGTATGTATCTTCCGTAGAAGACACACTAGGAGAACAAAAAAGGGGGACAGCTTGAGTTTTCTGATCATGTACCTATAAGCCTACTTCAAAAAGTAACAGACATTTTCAGTACTGTAATTGCCCGATACCTTTCGATATGGGTCATGAAGTGGACATCAAAAAATCCTTTAAAATGACTAATGGACAAAATAGTTCTTTTCTTTTTAGGCTTATCGAAGCAGTCGCCATGAAACGCCTGAGACCTGATTTATCTGTTCAGAAAGAAGCATTTATCAGTCTTCCATTGCCCAGATAATTGGATGTCTTTACCCTGTCTCTCTTTCGGTTTGCTTTGAAATCCCCGTATGAAATAGTGTAATTTTGTTTGTCTCTTGTTCCTATGATTTGAGTTGAACTTACCACACTGTTGCTCAATTTACTAATTACTCGTCTCTTTATTTATCACTTCTTTTTATTACCTAATTCATTTTCCATTAAAGCCATGCATTTATTCTCTTTTTCTGTTTAAACTTGGACTTTCTGTGTATAAGGTATACAGATACAATTTGTGAGCATTGTTTATGTAGTTTGAAGCCTCCTGTCATTGACTGACATTATGTAACAGCTGAAAGTATGTTACCATTGTTCTATACATAAATTTAATTAATTTCTTCAGGCTTTAGGCAACTGATGAAAATTCAACGAAATAAATGATGACGGCAGGATCTTGTTCTGTGACAAATTGCTGTTCTTTCTTTATGCCAAATTTAAAATATAATTCGACTTGTTTTCATGTAACATTATTCTACAAATAATTGTTCCAAGAAATTGATGCTTAAAAGAAAACAGATATTTACAAAGTGAAATTATCAGACATCTTGTGGATACCTCAGGTCATTCTGTCGAGATTTCAAAATCCTTCAAAGTATTAGGCATACAAAGGACAGAGAATTTACTACGATTTGCTCAAGCAGTTACAGCAATCAAGAGTTTCATACCAAACTTATGCACACAAAAAAGAGAGAGTGTATAGTCAATCTCTCACCTCCTTGGTAACCAACCGTATTATTTTCATCACACTAAAAAAATAGTCGTACACAGCTCAGTGAGTTCAGCTGACTGAGCAATTTTTCAGTTGGATGAACTTTAATCTTCTTGAGTGTTGCTATGTAGACGTACAAGCTAACACTGTTTCTTTTTTTAGATTTTTCTCTTTTCTTCTGTCTTCTCTCAATCCCCGCCTCTCGCTTTTTTTCTCATAGTCTGAAAGCATATGAAAAAGTGATGGTGACTTGAACGAAACACTTTTAATGCTGTATTTTCCGGATACGTCTATCTCATAATGCTTCTCTGTTACCTTTCAAACATTGAAGCATGAAATGTTATTATTTATGTAACTACCGTAATTTCAGATAGTTTTCAGCAGTTGATGAGAAGCTGTGAAGGAGAATGATGATGATGATGATGATGGTATCATTTCATACTGACTGTCAATCTGGTCTTCTTTTCACTATCGCAATTTATCAAGAGAACCATGAAGTATAAAGTGATTGTTCTCCATAGTATAAAAACACTTCAAACTTCAGTCTGCTTCAGTATCCTTCAATTTATCTTTTGTTGTTTGTTTTTTACTTCTTTCTGTAGAGAGATGCAGTACTCGGTGAGCATTTATGGAATGATACAACATCAACTGACTCTTGTTATGTCGATGAATCAGAGTGTTGCGTAAGTCTACAATTTCTAATAATAGTAATATGTGTGTGTATATTTTGCTAAATGTATCAACTAAGACCCATTCATGATAAGAAATAATCTCATCATCAGTAGGCTAGAATAGTCAAAAGTATACAGAGAAAGAAACAACCATAACGACGACGACAGCGACGTGGCACCAAACATATAAATTTACTCTATGACATGTGAATAAGCTTAAATTATCATCAAAATAAGTGCGTCGGTGGCACAGCGATAGAATGCTCGCTGACTACGCATGTGGTTTGGGGTTCGATCCCCGGCCACTGACGCATACCTTTACCTCGCTAAGCCAGTAATAAGACTTGTAAGGAGGGAAGGCTAGCAGCCCCATCCCGTAAAAATAAATTCCACTGCTACAGAAACTTCAAGTCTTTAACTTGAAGCTCCCTATGTTCCACTTGGAAAGTAAAGGAATAAAATAAATCATCAAAATACTAGTAGTAATGTCTATTAGGTAGATATAATCTAAAAAACACTGCATACAAATCAAAAAGTGCTGAGCAGTATTCTGGAAAAAAGTACCCTAACAGACCTTACACCAGTTTTTATGGATAACCACTGACTTTGAAGTAAATATCTTGCCTTCTGTATAACCTTCAAGCATCTGATGAATACTTCAAGTTTGACCACGGGTTGATATCGGTTAGAGAACTATTGAAAACCAAACAGGGAGAACTTGACATCTGTTTCGTCTTAGTTTAGGACTCATCGACAACACAAACCCACTCCCAGTAGTCCCAACCCAGGACCTTGCCATTAAAAGGCAAGCTGGTAGATTATTCAGCCATTGAGACCCATGATTTTCAACTTCTACTAGGATTTCTAGTGATAAATCGTGGCCAATAAGGTCCACGTCGTTCATCAGGAGGAAAAATACTCGTTAATGACAATGACTGGTGGTCACGCCAAAATCGCGAATAGGTAGAAGTTGAGATGGATGGATGACTGAGTTGAGTTACAAGGGTGGTAACCGGAAGGCCCAGGGTTCGAACCCCGCTGGGTTCGCGAGACTGCAGAGTCACAAACTAGGAAGAAACAGCTGTCTAGTAATGCTCTGTGGTGGTTTTTGATTGTTCTCTAACTGATGCCAATCCGTGATCAAGCTTGAAACAAATGAAATCCTTACAGAGTAACTCTTGAAAATTGGTGAATTTATTTGATAGCTACCGAATAAAAGAAAAAGAGTGGCTCTCACTGATGGTATCATTCCAATTCTGCACAAACTTCCATTGTTCTTGCTTCATTCAAACCAACGTTTTCTTCGGTACTCGTTTCCACTTTACTTTTTTATATGTATTTACTGATGAATTTTAGCAAATAAATATTCTGTATCAGAGTCTTTCATGAGAACTCTACTTCTCTATTTAGTCTGTCTTCCGTGTATATGCGAGTAATTCTTATGAGAAAGGATTTGATACATTTTTTATTCCTGTACCTCTTCAGCTTCTCCTCCTATTTTACTTTATGGAGAGTTGATCCGTGAATTGATCCATTAGTTCTCCCAGAAAGATGAATAAGGAAAAAGAAGAGGGGAAGTCCTTCTAATTTACTTCACTACCGGCTTAAAACGAACTGATCAATGAGTTATTTATTAGACGCTGCTATTGGGCTGTTAAGACCCAGGCGAAAATCAACAAATTGACTGAAGAAGCAGTTCTCGGAGACAGTACTCGAGGTGAACATAGAGAAGACGGGGGTGATGAAGATAACCAACCAACAGCAACAACAACCTACACCAATCACCATCAGTGGGAGCGATTAGACAGAGGTTACTACCTTCACTTATCTAGGCAGTAAGCATCATTTCAACCACAGGACCACGCCATGGATTAAGATGTTAAAACCAGTCAGCCAGATTCGGAAAGGCAAGACAGACGCATTTATCAACCTGAAACCAGTTTGAAAATCTTCTGCAATCAGCATAAAGTACAAAATTTGGATTTTCAACACAAATGTGAGGTCACTCAGTCAGAGATATGCCTTTTTGTCACGATAAGTACTTGCAACAAGCTACTGCAAATGTTTATCAACAAACTGTCTTTTCTTTCACCATACTGAAGATCAAATGACCATCCGGTCAGAAAGAATTAGCAACAAGGAACTCTGGCTGGGAACAAACCAACGAAGAGCCAATCGCTCAACAAATATGTAGAAAAAAATGGAGATGGATTGTTCTGGCATACGTTCAACAGACCATCGAATCATATAGCGCTCAATTCAGGCCATCGCTCGATTGGAATCCCAATGGGGAACGATAAGTTGATCGTCAGTGCTCGGGTGACACAAAGGAGATTGTGTGATTTGGAGGAGGAGATGAGAGATTATGGGCAATTGTGGGGTCAGCCAGCTGAAGGGGACAGCAGAAAATAGGAACATAGTGGAGATGTGTCGTTGAATCGCTATGTTCAACTTGGAACCCAAGGGAATAACAATAATAATAATCATTGTTCTGTTAAAATACTTTCATGTAAAAATTTGGGGTGAATAATAAAGGAAATAAGCATAGTAAAGTTGATGCTTCGCTATATGAAAGAATTAAATAAACATTTTCGCAGAATAATTAAAATTTAATTGCCTATTTTTATTCATATATGATATATAAATAAGAGAACCAAAACAGAAGCTTAGGTTTTGGCGAAAACACAGTCAACAGGGAAAACCAGTATACATTGCTGTTTTCTGTAGTTCCTAGAGGGACATAGGGTTTCAGCCGTACGTCTCCATTACGTTCGGTTCTCTGCCAAAGTTTCCACCTGGCCCCACGTCTATTCACATGCCTTCATTTCCTCTTCACATGACCTCCTCCTCCATGTCACCCTCGGACGATGTATATATATATATGTATATGACACCTGAATTGAAAATAACTGCTTAGGAAACTTCATCATGAGACACATGATTAGGAAAGTTGGAAAGAACTATTCACTATCCGTAACACAAGAAGCCTTTATACATACGACTGCAATTCAAGGGCTATGTACCTGGAGGAATAATTATGAAGAAGTTAAGAAAATCAGTTCAAAGAACTTCTAATGCTGGTAAACTACAAGTCTTATTTTCTACACGACTGATGGTGATTCCTCAGTTGAAACATGAAGTACCTAGACTAGCCACTTCCGGTTGAATCTACCAGTTCAACTGAGCTTGTAATAGAGCGATTTATATTGGCCGACGCTCTCGGAACTTGATTTTACGTGCTCGAGAACATCTCCCAGTATGGCTAAATTAAATTTAACCATCAACGGTTTGAAACAATGAATTTGTATTCGTTCGCGTACAAGTGTAGCGTGATGTAGATTGATAGGAGGCGGACGAAACTGAAAGCATCATTTTACGTCAACTGCTGCAGAGGTCGAAATATTTATCCTTCTAATCTGGATTTAGCCTACATTGTGGACATTAAATAGCCTCATAGGAAGACTTGCTTAACGTTGTGCCAATTGACAACCAATCAGGACAGTTTATTCTTTTCTGACCCAGACAACCTTTAATGTGGCTAAAAATGTATAAATACTATACTTTGTTTTATCCTTAATAAAAAGGTCATTAATCAAGTATCTTATCTTCTCTCGTTAGACAATTATACTTTATAAGTAGAAAAACACAGTTAAAAACCTCCAAATATCTCCCTGTCATCCTCTACACTATACATAACGCCTAGCCGAGAATTTCAGTCAATAGTGTCAGTCGGCTGAAGGAGAGAATGATGAAAAGTTAACTTTAAATTAAATGGATACATGGCAGCTAACATACTAACTACTATTCAAATTTTAACTCCAAACATATATAGTAAAACACGGGTATAAAACTAGGGGACTACGGCAGAGTAAGAATTCTATCCTAGAGTAAAATTGTATGGTAAAATCGTACAGTGATATAATATTATGTACTGGTCATGATATTTCCAGCAGTGTGCATTACTCATAATGACATTAAGGCGGTTAGTTAACTTCCAAAAGTTCATGGCCAAGTTGATATAAGTATAAAACTTGGGCACTGTAGTAGAATGAATATAACTCCATTATGGATAAGATTTTATTTTGACAAATCACACAGTATTATACAGTAATATTTACTGATGCCACCACGTTTCGAGCACAATTTATTACTGCTCATAATCATGTCAGAGTACTCACACAACTTTTTGCCTCATTTATATACATCAGTAAGCCAAAGGATCCGGTGTACTCAATTAAACTAAATAATATAATTTACAAAATACCTTGGAATAACCGTCGACTGAGGTTAACTACATAGGTCAAACTAGTGGTGGATCAGCAGTAGTGAAATTATCACAACATAAGAATTTAGCTAAGGTTGGAATGAAAAAAAACTCAGCCCTACATTGCACTGCATGCATTAACACACAACCACACAATAGGGTGGGTGCACGGACAGAGTCAAAATTCTAAAGAGTAATATAGGTAAGTGGAGAGAGAGACTGATTAATGAATTCTTGTTCATCGAGTCTATACCCAACACATGAAATAGAAGTGACTCTTCATCACTAATACCAAAGATGTGAAAGATGTTATTACCACCAGTCAAATCAGAGAATAATAAATAATGTTAAAATGTATTTAATTCAATTCACATTCTAACATTCTAGCAAGTTGCTTATTTATTTTACAATGAAAACATCTTATTTTGCGTCTTATTGTATTTGATTGATAACACTAATATCATCTCCGAATGTACCTTATCTTATGTTGATTTTATTGAAATGTCTAATCATCAATTTTGTCTCAAGTATATCAATGAAGCGACAAAGTTGTGTGAGTAGTGCCTTGATATGATTATGAGCAGCAGTAAATTGTGCTCGAAACGTGGTCATCAGCAAATACTACTATATAACACTGTGTGATTTATCAAAATAAAATCTTATCCATAATGGAGTTCGTCACCAAGTCTCTTACTTTCTCCCATTACAATAAGATTAAATTTCTACCGTTTTATCTAAGAAGTTATTA